GGTGGAAGGCACATACCTATTATAGGAGGACCTCTGCCAGTTACTAGATATGTCACCAAATCATGCTGAGCCTCAATCTTCTCTTCAGCAAAATTAGAGTCTTAACCTCAACAGCCTTGAAGCTCTGGACATACAGGGTGAGCTCAGATTAAGAACCCTGATAGCTAGTGGCTGCACTCCTGGGGTGGGGGAAATGGAGACACTGATTGCTGACTATAAAACAGGGGACCCAGCAACAGAGGGATAGCTGTGAGAAAACCCCTTCCCTTCTTTCTCCATAGCAGCAGGACAGAGATTTTCATTTTGTTTTCATTTCCCAATGCTTTAAGCATGAATGAGACAAGGGAGTGAGCTTCCTCCAGGCATGATGCCTGTGTTTCCCCATCTGGGAGGAAGTTGTTTACAAAGTCTCTGGAATGGTTTGGGTTGGTTTGATGGAATACCCAGGGGCCTCTTGTTATTTACGCTCCCATTCCAGGGGAGTAGCAGCTGCAGGCAGCCTCTGATATACCCAGTCTATCCATAGCTGCAGAAGCAGTTAGGGCAATTCACCTGTGATGTAAGAGTGAACGGCTACAAAGGATTGTAACCACTACTAGTCCAGTGTCCCAGAGAGATTACAAAAAAAAGAAAAAAAAGCACCTATATGTGCAAAAAATATTTGTAGCAGCTCTTTTTGTGGTGGCAAAGAACTGGAAATTGAAGGGATGCCCATCAAGGGCTGAACAAGTTGTAGTATATGAATGTAATGGAATGCTATTGTGCTACAAGAAATGATGAGCAGGATACTTTCAGAAAAAAACTGGAAAGACTTACATGAACTGATGCAGAGTGAAGTGAGCAGAACCAGGAAAACGTTGTACATATTAACAACAGCTATTCTCAGCAATACAAAGATCCAAGCAATTCTACAAGAACTATCATTAAAAATGTTATCCACCTCCAGAGAAAGAACTGATGGAATCTGAATTCAGATTGAAGCATACTGTTTTGCTACTTTATTTTTCTTGTTTTTTTTTTTTCCTCTGTGTTTTCTTTCACAACATGACTAATATGGAAATATGTTTTACGTGGGAAAAAAAAAGTGAATGGCTATATACCCCTCCATCTGCTGGATGGCTGAACATCTCACTAAGGCACACCCTTTTCCCCAGGATAACAGTTATAGCACAGGCCTGAGCCCCTTACACAGGGTTGCTATGAGGATCAAGTAAAATAACATATGTGAAATTGATTGTTCAATAACATTTCACTTATGGAGAAATCATAAGGACTAGGTAAGTTAAAGCTGTTAGGGTGGCTGAGGCCTCCATGAGACTGTTTGCAAGACCTCAAGTTTTATCTCATTTGATGCTGTTACCATCTCGTACCCAGATGGTCAGCTGTAGGATGCCAATTAGAAGACAAAGTAGGAGAGGAGGAGAGAGTGATTTAGTAGAGAAGAATGAGAAGGTGAAAAAAAGTGCCTGATCGGCCCCAAGCAGAGTATAATTATTACTGTCCCCTCAAGGGGTAAAGAACAGTCATGCACAATGTCCCAGAGGGGCCTGGACTTCCTATTATGTTTATTAATCATCTTGATGAAAATGGAAAGCCTGCATTGATTAAATTCACTAATGATCCTAAACTGAGCAGGAGAGTAAATTCCAGAAAGGATGGATTTATAAGGCAAGTAGGAATATTAATCAGCTCATCTTCTCAGAACCTGGTGGAAATAAATGAGATGGGATTTACTATAGATAACAGCATTGAAGTACACCTGGAGGGAAATGATAATGAGCCTCGATTCAAACGAGGAAGCTGCTGTTTAGGAAACAATAATGATAAGAAATATCCAAGGCAGGAAGTGAATAATAAATTAAGGGAGGCTCAAAATAAAATCTCATTACAAATACCAATTTTATTCTCTGCACAGCTGGGCTGCGGTGATGCAGGGCATAGAATTGGAGAAGGTTAAATTTGGAAGGGACCTGAGAGATCGTTTGTTCCAACTTTTTCATTTCAAAAAGGAAGGAATGGAGGCCCAGACAGAGGAAGTGACTTGTCCAAAGTCACATAGAGTCAGGGACAGAGCTGGGTCTAGAATCCAGATCTCCCAAGTCTTGAGTTAAAAGCTCTTCGCTTGCCACATCAGAACTTGCAACTTTCATTAAAAGGGGATTCAGTTTAGTTTCCAGCTCCCCTACTGACGTGTGTAGGGAGGGATCTTTGGCCACTCTAGTAATATCCCTGTAGTCCAGGCTATAAAATGTAAAATATTACAGGGAAAAAAATCAAGTAATCAAGAGAATCAGACCAAAATGTATATGTCCTTTAGGAATTACATAAGGTATCTTAAAATGAACAAAGTTTTATAAAGATCAGTGCCCAGCTGAGTTCCCCTCCTCCTCCTTGCCCCACTCTTCTTATTATTAGGTTCGTCTGGCCTCTGACACCAATTGGCTGTGTGACCTTGGGCAAGCCACTCTCACTGCCCTAGACAACTCTCTACAATCCATCAGTCCATAAATATTTATTAAGCTCCCATTAACAGGCACTTATTATGCTAGGCATCATGCTATTCTCTCTACGAATATAAGTTGCAGAAAATTCCTGATGCCAATGAAAGAAACAGTCCATTTGCTAGCCCTATGTATATGTGAGGATGGACTAGGACAAATTGAGTGTGCAAAAAGAGCAGGACTGATTGTGAGCAAAATGGTGTGGGTAAAGAGGGCTTTGTTAGACTTCTTGTCTTTTGGACTCTTTTCTTCTTCATTCTTTCTTCCCTCCAGCACCCTTATTCCTGGTCCCCAAGATGGTGCCGGTTTGCCCCTCCCAGGATGAAGCATCATACTCCAAACCTTTCTCCATCCCAACTCCCCACTCCCTAAACAGAACAGGATGTCCTATTCTGAGATAATCAAGTCAGAACACTTGTAGGATAAGGATTAGTGCATTACGTTGAAAATCAGCCCGTGCCATGAAAAGAGGTCTAGATTTGGAGTGGGTAGGGTGGGGGTAGATATTTGGGAGTTAGCTGGCCTCTCTGTACCCCTCAAATTCTACTTCAAAGGCATCTGCCTCTTCCATCTCTGTCTAGGGTCAGCCTGGGGAGCACTACTCACAGGTTTGGATTAAATGTGTGCTTCCTGACAAACACAGAAAGTGAAATATCAGGGCTTCTTCCCATTCTTCCCAGAAGCCAAATGGGAAGCATGGTGACAGAAGTAATAGGTCACTTTTTTTTTTTAATTTCCCATTTCCATGGGGAATGCTCATTGAATTTCTTGTTGTCTCACCACCTGGCTCAGCAGAAACCCTGGCACTGAGTTGACCAGTCCAAAGGGGACAACTAGTCCGTTTCAAGAAGGCATGGCTGCATTTTCAGGTTTCAAGGGTCCTATTTGCTTCAAAGAGAAAGAATGGAAATGTGCCTGAGTATCATGGCCCACCTTAACTACACTTATCTCTTGGGGTAAATAGGGGCTGAGATAATTATCCTGTCAGAAAGATGGGCCATAGTAAAGTCTGGAACTTTTCTCAAGTCATATATAAGTGACTTAACCAATCCTTGCCTTTAGTTCTTGACTCCAAGATGACATTCCATCCATACAATCAATTAATAAGCATTTATTAAGCACCTACTATGTGTCAGGTACTGTTCTAGGACCTGGGGATACAAAGAAAAATGAAGCAGTTCCTGCCCTCAAGGATCTCATATTCTATTGGGGG